TTCACCGAGGTCCTTTTCAAAGTGCTCACAACACTGATTGGATCTGAAGGTTTCAAGCATCAGTAACAGACAGTTCTGCTTTTGGATCACTTCCCTCACTAAGAACAGAAAACTGACACTCAGAAGGGCGAGGGAAAAAAAAGGGAAACTTTGGAAAATGTGCATCTGGGTGTAGACCCTACAGGTCCATCTTTGACCATACTGCAGAAGACCAGATTTCTGGTCACTGCCAAGCTCTGCCATACCACCATCCTCAAGGAATGTCCTTATGGCCCCACTCCCTGGTGCAGGGAGTCCCTACAGCAAGGCTGAGTCAGCTGTCTCAACCTTCTTCTCTAAGAATTAAGAGCACAAACCTCAACTCTTTCTACACCAAATGTTTTCTGTGTCTAGTCTTCTGACAGCAACATACAGTGGCATGCAATTAATAGTAGCATGACCATTAAAAACAAGCAAACTGGTAAAAAGGAATCCTAACCAGAACTCTCAGCTCCTTCCTCAGAAAGGGAAAGGAGGAGAGAAGAAATAGCTCCCAACAGATGTTAATCTTTGTGCTTAACATTAACTGGAAGGTGTTTCAAACACAGTGACAAGCAGAGTATAAAAGCTTTCATGGAATAAAACAGATTAACAACTATATTTATTAAGGGCTACATTTTCAGCCAGGCCTCTGCAAACCTATTTGAAAAAGCAATTTTGCTTATGTTTTCCGCATGCACACAGTCAATGAATATTAAATACTGCTGCAAAACCCTTAGCCTGGTTATATGCCACGCTGATTAAGTTACTTTGAATTAGATTCTCTCTCTTCTCTTCCACCAGCATTCCAACACGTTCCCCTGGAAGCACTGAGGGTTATACACCAGAAAGGTGCACAACACCCCTTAGGGGATTATAGTCCTTTCCCCCTCTGATACCAGAATAACAACTTTACCCGATTCAATTATTCCTTATTCAAACAAACAATAAAGTGCTCTTGTCTCCCCATTGCACAATTCTATGTAACTTTTTATACAAACATGTATGCCTGCTGGCTTCTTTTTCAGTTTCACAAAAGGCTGACTTGCATTTAGTACTGTTTTTCCACTTTCCAATGGCTATGTACAGTTTTAACCCATTACACTTAAAAATAATGGGGTTTTATTTATTTTTTTTTTTGCAAACAGAAGGAGGCTTTGCCTTAGACCACATTTCTTCTCCAGTACACAGTGGCATCCCAAAAGTTGAGTTCTGTCTATAGGAGGTGTTTTCCTTGCAAGAAAGCTTCCAGAAGGGAGGAAGAACATCCATCACCGAGGGAGCCGAGAGCAGTGGCTGGCTTTGGTTCACACGTGAAGGGAAGCAACAGCTACCAGTGGAAATGTGCTCATGAGAACTACAAGATGAAAGTTTAAAATGGGAATGTGTTTTTAAGTTTTGGGAACATCTGGAGGCTCCCAGAACCCAGCGAAGAGCAAACACGTGGTAACACAACAGCTCCGTCCCACAGCAGCTCTGCAGCCCAGCCACCAAATCCAGACCCTACTGAACTGCACACACCAAAGTCACTGCAGAAGATAGAACATAGGAAGCCTCTGAGAGCAGAACTGGGAAGAGTTGACTGAAACCCACACATTTCACCTAAAGCCCTGTGTGTCCCTGTTTGTTTTCCCCACTGACTGTGTGACAGCCCCAGTGCAGGCACTGCCACACAGCTCTGCTCTGCTCTAACCAGCAGTGCCACGGGCAAAGCCATCCCAAGCCCTGCCTTCAGCCAGGACTGGAAAAATAGGTCAGGGAAATAGCATTATAATCTGATTTAACTGCTATTCAAAGCATCAAGGTCTCTTCACTAATTTGAACGAGAATTGGACTGGGTCCAAATTACTGACAACAAAACGGGAGGTTTATTTTAACGCCTTCACCGTTTCATTTAAAACCTTCCAGCTGAAGAACAGAAAATAAGACTCCCCACGTGCCTTCAGGTGGCTACAGTGCAACTTAAACTTGCGTGTAAACCAGTTACATACTGCTTAGAGCTGGTGGGTGCCACAAAGCAGAGGAAGAGCTCAAAAAAAAGCAGTGTTTGAGCAGAGGACCTCCAGGATTCCCTCCTCAGAGTGCAGTCAAGAGTCTGCAGTTTCACAGCCTCTCACCCAGCTGGAAACCTCAAAGGCCAAAGTAAGAAGAGAAAGACTATCTGGAATTAACTTCCCAAACATCACAGCTCATAGCAGAAATTTTATTTATTTGATGGAAGCAAAAAGAACTTCATTTTCTGTAAGAAAAATAAATTAAGAAAAGAGAAAAGAACAAAGGTCTGCCAAAGAGGCTTGTTTTGGCAAATAATGAATGCCTAAAGAAATATTGTTTGTATTGTGCAATGAACTTGTAATTAATGTTTGTTTGCTCACCATTTAATAGCTGTTCTGCACTAAGTGATGGGATTTTGCTGCCATTTGTGAATGTGCAGATTTTGAAACTTCATTCCCCATATGGAAGAGCTCCCAGGGGGTCATATCATAAACCCATTCAAATGAACCAAACAAATGACAAGTATCTGTACAAATGTGGAAAATGAGGGAGCTGTCTGCAGTATTTTATGTAAGTATTGTTAAGTGCCTCAGTTTACTTGTGGGGGATGTTTTTGCTCGAGTGCATAGGAGTCAATCAGAAGAGGCTGTCGAGCCGAGGAGAATAAAAGCATCAAAACTACAAAACTCCTTCAGATCTGATGAGGGGCCCTGAAGTAGAGGAGTCCCCTCTTTCTGTCCAGCCAGCATGGCAGTGTTTGACAGGTTTAATTGTGCACAGTTCCCAGCTCCTACTGGAAGATGGTACACACCCCTTAATTTCCAAAAGGATTTTTAATCTGGTGCTTGTTTTCTTGAAGCTGTGAGGGAGAAGAAGGAAGAGATGTTCTTGACCGTAACACCTTCATGGTATTACATGGCCTTGCTTCCTGGCATTTTTATACTTCCATCTGAAGTTTCCAGTTCTCCTGGACCAGAAATTCCTATTGATCCTCCAAATTTGCCAGAGATGACTGTGCACTCACCTCCCAGCTCTTACAAAGGAGAGCTTTCACAGGGACACAGTGCTGCACTTCACTTGTAACAGCCTGCCAGGTCACCTGCATCCAGCTGTTCCTGGGGAATGACAGCTCCACATCACTCTGATCCATGGCTATATTCAATATATCTTTAAGGTATATTGACTACTTAGTTAGAAGCCAAACTTTCCACTTGTAGATGAAAACCTGATCTCTCTGAAGACACCAGGCAGAAAGCTTTGATGGGTGGAGGGAGGTTCCCACTAGGAAACAATATGGGAATTTTAAACTTCCATGTAAGCTTGGAGTGGGAGAGGAACACACAGACCATGAAGAAGTGGCCTGTAAACAGGACAGGCTGTTGCTGAGGTATTGGCCTGTGAAAAAGCCAGGAAAAACTCAGAGCATGAGACATACCCCTGATAAAGTGGTCTGACATCCAGCTGCCCGTTCCACCAGTAGTTTTGGCAGAAATGAGTTTGCTCTGTGGTCATTTCCCACAGCAGCTATGTGAAATATTCACTAAACAGAACATGTGGTGAGCTCTGGCTGAGGGCAGCCAAGGAAGTGCTGGGGTTTCAGTAGTGTTAAGCACCATTGCATAAACAGGGCTCAAATTGAAGCTGTGCCAGGAAGGGAGGGAAACAAAGTGACACACACACCAAAATACTGCCATGAGCTAAACAGCAAGATGGAAAGAATGTGCTCTTTTCTGAAAGCTGAGCATATCAGCTTCCTCCCCTTTTTCCAATTCTTCAAAATTGATCCTAGCATGGAATGAAAATTTTTCTACTTAACAAAAGTCCAGAACACTGATCCTCCTCTGAGTGCAGCATTTGCAATGCCATCACTGCTGAACCACAACCTTAATGATAATTTAGGCCCCTGTTACAGGTCTTTCAGCTGCTCTTGAACCTCATCTGTTTTCAGGAGCAATCTGCTCATCTTTGCCACCCCAAAATGGCAGAAATCAAAAAGTTACTGTGCTGTGAGAACAACTGAAAAGCAAAGCCTTGAGCTTGATAAGAAAACTATAACCTCTCTTTATGTTCGCAACTCTGCCTTCCACAAAATGTAATTTAAAGAGAGAATTTAAGAACTTTATCTTGGAAATACTTCTTCCTCCAGGCAGATTTAGCTCCCAGATCTTCTACCAGATTCTGCCACTAAGAAAATATTAGGAAAAAAGTAAAGGAAGAAAAGGAAGAATACACACAAAATCGACTTAAACACTAGGAAAGTGTTCATATATGAGAAATAAGGGCCACACTGGGAGAAATATATTTATACTTAATAATCATTAATCTGAAAAGCAAACCACGGAACTGCAGAAAAACACGTGTTGAAAATGACATCCAAAAAAATTGGAGAAAGAGGGTTGAAATGGGGTATAAAGTACATGGTTATAGAAACAGGGATGGGTGTTCAGGAAAGCAGACACAGCTTGAAAACATTTTAAAAACCCGTGAGTGTAACTCTCCTTTCAGTGTTACCCAGAGAATCGGGCCTCAGTGTGGCACCTGGTTTAGCTGGGCCAAAACTTTGTACTGGGATGGACTGGGATAAGGCAAGTAAGTCAATAAAAGAGTATGTCGGGCTAAATCTTCAACAGAAAGGTTAAATACTTCCACCACGTTTTTTTGACTACAGGATTGCAGATTTTCACTTCTGTCATCTTATAAAGCATAAATTCACATCCCACCGTCTGTGCTTTGTTATTCCACAATGAATCCACACAATTTTTACAGCTTTTCATTGTGCTAATACTACACTCCCAGAAGAAAATCTTGTTGGGTTTTTTTTAATAGATTGAAGGAAAACACAATTCTGCTGCTCAACTCACTAAAGGTGAGTCTTTACCCAGCAAAAATGAGTGTGCTGACATACCCAGGCCTGGGCATCAGACAGGAGCAGAGCAGAACACATCAAAAAATTACACAAAAACCCCCTCTGAGACTGTATTTTGTACCTGAGGTAGCACTGCTGGTCCTTGTCCTGCCAACCTCTGCAAGGAGCTGACCTGAGGAACCTTAATGGGCACTGCAGTGATAGTTCCCAAAGTCTGTTGGAAGAAAAACAGGTGAACACAGCTTAGAACAGGTGAGTACAGCTTAGAACAGGTGAACAGAACTTAGAACAGGTGAACAGAGCTTAGAACAGGTGAACAGAGCTTAAAACAGTTGCAGAACTTTCCCAGACAGAATCTCTTCGACTCAGCAGTTCCCTTCCAGCTCTTTGTCTCTTCCCAGCTGCCACAGCTGAAGGCTCTCCAGGCACCAACTTGTGTTCAAAAGACCCCTGAAATGCCCCCCAGTGAAACCCCAACACGTGCATTGGGAAGATGATGCATGTCATGGCAGCCAGGGTCACAAGGAGAAGTTTGCTGGGCATTGGTAAACACTGAATTATTACCTATAAATCTACTACAACACAATGCAACACAACATTCAGCTAAAATGACACCCTTTTGGGCCAAAACAGCAGCTATTACTAGCCATGTTTATTTTTACTACTCACCCCTCTCTAAGGTGAGAGTAACAAATTTATTTGTCTAACAAATTTATTCAAAGCTTCTTTACGATGAGATAGAATAAACTGAGAGCTTATAAATTTAACACTGTGCCATGAGTGTAAAGGACACAGGTAACTTTTCCCCTTCAACCTCTTCCATTCTTTCATCCCTGATTACAATTCATAGAATCACTGAGGGGTTTGGGTTGGAAGGGACCTTAAAGATCATCTAGTTCCAAATTCCCCTGCCATGGGCAGGGACACCTTCCACTAGCCCAGGTTGCTCCAAGCCCTGTCCAACCTGGCCTTTGGCACTTCCAGGGCTGGGGCAGCCACAGCTTCAACCCAAAAGTTCATATTTTGGTTAACTGGCCAATATTCTCAAGGCAAGGCTTTATAACTTCTATCTAGTGTTTCTTTATTGCTGTTGGGACAACACTGGCAGCATAAGCAAGCAGATGATTGTCATCATAACAGCAAGAGACACTTAGTCACCGCTCACAAAAACTCACCAGGCTGCTAAAAACAGCTAATAAGGAAAAAAGAACAGACCCAACTCAGTTGCTCTAAATTTAACTCCGCTCAAAACAAAAGTTTTGGATCACGGCCAGTAAATAAAGTATGTTAATATTACCCCAATCTGCTAATGAAATTTGTCAATAGAAGCTCAAGGAAAGTGAAACTGTGTCACGTCCATGTCGATTTGTTCTTCTCAGCCCTCACCCACAAAGTGGTAAAAGACTGTTTGATAAGAATACCCAGCATTTTCAGGTAGAATATTTGTAATGAAGTTGTCCTGCAGAGTTTATATTTTTAACTCTGCTACTCCTCTCAGAGACATTTGGGGGTGTGATGTTACATATTCAGCAAAGATTAGCATTTGCCTAAGATTTGCCTGAGTTAAACATCAAGGAGGGCTGAACAGCTATAAACAGGCAAGACATATTTTCTTAAGGTGAATACCAAAGTGAACTTTCCAACCCATGCTAGAGGAACAGAAAGTTTACCACAAGTCTGATCTGTATTTTCCTACTGTCCCAAATGAGATTTCTTTCCCTACACAGTTTGAAGCCTGAGGTTTACCTGGAAACCTGAATCAGGGGCACCACAGCCTCTCCTGGGCTGCACACACACCCTCTGCAGAGAGTTAAAACAAGTCCTTCCTTCTGGAAGGTTGTGCCTTAAGGGTGTCTGCTGCCTCCAACCCCACAAACACACATCCTGATATTTCTATTCCAGGTACATGTGGATTGGCAAGGATTTTCTAACTGCACAACATAATACATGGTGTGTTAGGTCAGAGGTTGGACTTGATGATCTTGGAGGTCTTTTCCAACCTTAATGACTCTGTGATCCCATTAAAATAACAAAGTGCTGACAGTGAAACTGGGAACTGATTATAAAGATAAGAATCAAATTACTGAGAAGTGGGCTAAGTAACAGTTATCAATTGATAAGATGCACAAAAACTCCACGTCTGAGCAACAAATCTCTTTTCTTGTACTATTTCAAAGGTCAATTGCAAGGAAAAGAACCAATCAACCCCTTCTAGAACAGAATGCCTCTGCCCTGGGAGGAGGGAGCTCATCTCGGCCTCTGAGGGCACCACTGGGTTCCTTCTGGCTTAAGTTTCAAAACAATTGAGCCAAATGAGGTGGGAAGGAGAGAAGAAACAAGAAACACCGTGAAACTACTGCCCTGTTCTCTCGGCTTCACTCGAAGGCAAAGCCAGGATGAATTGTCAGTGGGTTTCAGAGAAAAGAACCACCATTAGCCCTGTCACCTGCACTCTCAAAAATTCAACAGATTTATTTTCCTGAAGTAGGAGTTCTGCAGTGATCTCGAGAGAACAGAAACAAATTATGCCTCTCTTAGGTTATGAAATTTTCAGTGACAAAGACGCAGCCTCCTGTTCACAAATGGTTTTATAGAAAGGATCTGTTATTTAATATTCAAGGAAACAATCTCAGTATAGAAATTATATGACCAAGGGAAAATCCAAAACTTTAATCTCACATTAATAATGGCACCATAGTGTGTTCAGACAGGGAGATATCTGAGCATCTATTTTACTTTTCACAATTTACATTGTTTTGCTATTGTTTCCCAGCTTGGGCAATAAATAGTTGAAGCTGTTAAATCATCAGGATTCAATGACAGAAGCCTCTGTACTTTCCCTGTAACACATTTCATCTGTTATCTCAGGATACTTTGCCTAGGTCAGTATTCCTGTCTCCACTTTAGTGATCAAAAAAATCTGGATTTAGAGGTCAAATAATGTTGCCAGGGCTACACTGCTGTGCAGGTGAAAATCCAAGCCAGACTTCCAGTGTCTCATCCGTGGGATGGATTAACCTCATCTCATCTGGGCATGGAGAGTTCCATCCGAGCCACCTCACCTTCAGGACATGGTTTTAAGGACAGAGCAGGATGTCTCCATGAGGATGGTAAAGTACAAAGCAGGGAATCCCAGCTGTGGGCTCTGCAGGTGCCAGAAGGGTGGTTGGGCAGTTTGGCTCTGGGTACATTTTGCACTGCTTTGTTCCACTTCAAGTGACAAATAAACAAGCAGAGCCTGGCAAATGAAAAAGTTAAGGTCCTTATCCGATGTCCTTGGCCAGGCTGGACAAACTCCCCACAGCTCAAGCTGTGACAGGTCCAACACTGCTCACACTCCCTGGCCTGCAGGGAGAGGAGGAATCAAGACACCTCCCCACCAAAAAGGAAAACAAGCTTTTGCTCCTCCTCTTCCCAGTGCCACCCTGTTTTCCCTCCCAGGCTGTCCAGGCTTGCCCTGCTGAGCCTGGTGGATCACAGACTTGTCACACACTAATTCCACGCTATCATTCTCATCATTGTGGGCCTATTTTTTTGCTCCTTCCTCTTTTTCCAATTTGCCCGAAGAGCAAGCGGGTGCACATTCTTATAAACCTTTAATTAACAAGCTGAAAAGACATTTTTCTGGCAATGCCTGACCTTTAAGCACTTTGTATGAATTTATCGATACCAGCAGAAACAATAATTTAAAAGGTTATTTTATGAGTGCTGAATGGTTTATGGCAGCACTTTTGTCAAGATAAACGAGTTCCTTATTTCTACATTTACGGCGCTAAGCATTTTAATAAAAAAAGGTCCATAAAAGTCAAAGATAACTCTGAATCTCTCCTCTCCCCAAGTCTTTCTGGGCTTTTCTGGTGACCCCCTGAAGCACCTACGACGTGGAGGGGTGGGGGAAAGTGAAGAGCCAAGTTTCAGCTGGCCTCAGGTTTGACTGTGTGCATTTAAGGGATCCAGATGCAACCATCCTTTTCAGTGGTCGGTTTACTTACTAATAAAATAATAACTTTAAAAAGGGAAAACCAACTCAAAAGCCCCCAAACCTTAAGAAGACACGGCTGCAATAAAAGACAAAAAAAAGCAGTTCCTTTCAACCGAAAGAAAATTCAACCGAAAGAAAATTAAAAATTTAGGAGATATTGCCAAGTGCAGCTAAAAAGGCAAATCACTTCTCGCCCTCAATTCTGTTCATACCCAATAGCATTGTAGCTATTTGCTATATTTTCTCCTCCTGTGCTTCTCCTGCATTAAATCAACACCATCCCTGGATCGAGGCTCTCACAGACAACTGAGGGACAGAAGTGTGGGGACAGTGGCAAGTGGAACACAGAGAGAGTGAAACGAAAACGTGTGGCATGGACAGGGAATAAGAATTCAAGGGCTAGAGATGGTAGAGATGGTTAGAGGATAAAAGGATGCGGAGGCAGAAACAGGGATGAGATTTGCATTGTCAGTGATCAGAGTAAGGGCCATATGTTCAGTTTCCAAATATCATGTTTTGACTTATTTAGTCAATGCCTGAGTTTTTAAATCAAGGACTTAGGCATATTTGTGATTTTAGTAAATTCTGCATTTCAGACCTGAATGAATACATATTTTTATATATATATATATATACACACAGATACGTATCTCTACTTTATTGAAAGATATTTCCATTTTACTCAGTGTGTGCAAATACATTTGTCAGAACATTGCTATGTTTGCTTTGAGTTACAGAGATTTTTCTCCCCCTCCTTTAGATGCACCAAAAAAATGCTTAATAATCTATTCCTATCATTCACTATCCATACAAACTCATTGTTGAGCTTGGGTCCTTGAGCAGTTTAGGATTAGATCACAGATGTAAAACTGTCCTCCCCTTCCAGAATTACACCAGGATAAGTAAAATCACTCCAGTCACTCACCAAAGAGAATCAGGCTCAGTGAGTAACAGAAGGTTAAAGAGCCACACAGTTTGAAAAGCCTTTCACCACAGCACATCACCAGAGAAAGTGCTTAACTCAGGGACGTATGGGTTTGGTGTAGCTCAGCTGAACAGTTCAATTATTTGAGTTAAACTGACACTGCATTGCTGTATTATTTGCAAACTATTTTGTACTGACATCAATACTGCAGCACAAATATTGTGTTCCTACAATGTATAACAGAAACACTAATCTTTTCCTTTTTAGAGTACATATGCATCTCTCTAAGATCTAGGTCCTCTTCGCG